TAAAAAACTTGAAATTTTACACATTCAAATAAAGTCGTCCTCACTCGCTACTCGCCAGGTTGATAAATTCGAATATGAACTAAGGGCGGACCTATTCTGATAGAGCACGACGTCCTCACCTCCACTTCAATATAAACATGTTTTCTTTCTGTTTTTCTTCGTTTTGACCAATGTTTCTTGTATTTTAATAACGTTCATGATTAGGGTTTGACGTTTCTGCTGTCGTTTAGCAATTTATCATACTGCTATGCTCGTTTTGTCAACGCTACTCTCAAGTAATCTTAAAATAACAATGTAGAGGGGGTCTCATGTAACGTGACTTATTAAAGCAACACTTAAGCACATGTTATTTACCAAAAAGATATGTACAAGCAAGAATCTATAATTTCCATTGTCTCAAGCTTACCTAAACTCAGAATAACTGAGTACAGCAGTATAAAATTTATATAACAGCAACAAAGTCATCATTTTTGTATACAGACTATGTCAAAACACAAGAATCACCGTCTATACGAAGAAAAACCAAAAGGTTGGATTAAATTGAGGGCCCGTGGTGCCGCGCTCTACCGCAACGGCCTGCACCAGTTAAAATTCGAATTCATCTACAGGCGACTAGTGGGATGAGGACGACTATATATAAAACAAAATTAACGAAGCGAGGTGAAGACTTCTTATGTACATATATATATATCTATAATAAAGCGCTAGAGATGACTCATGCATGTAAGATACCCCTCCCCCTTCGTGGTCGCGATTCGGATGTCAACAACTTTGTCGTTATGTGCCGGTGCAGGTGCACCGACTGTGTCTCGTGATGGTTTGGCCCTGTCTTAGGTGATGTTGATCGAGAAGCCCAACCAGTAAAGTGATTTGCTAGACAAGCTAAATGCTGGGAAGGGGGAAGGCTACTTATCGTTATGCATTATATTACTATTACTATATCGCAGTGCGAGCAGCAACGCGAGTCCGGATGGCTTCCGCTAGCAAGGTTTTCGAGTTTCGGAAAACATCAATCAATAGAAAGCATATTGAATGAGGTACAAAAATCATTGTGAGCTGAAGGAAAGCAAGATGAAGGTTCCCAACGCTGGAAGTACGCGAAGGCAAAGATATACGCACGCTTCCAAGCAAATCAAAGATCAAAGCTTAGAGCGGTCCTGACAGGGGAACTCAAGAGTAGTTTTTGGGATGTAATCGAAAGGTAAACGAAAACTAGCAAAATATGGCGCAAACATTTTGATATTGCTAAATTTACATATTGATAAATTTAGGGACATGCAGAAATTTTTAATGAAAGGAATGAGTGTCAGGTGTTTCCTAGCTTAAGGGGGCCGGAGACGTTCCCGCATGGTTTTTCGAAAAACATTCATTTGGGGGAAATTAAGTAATAAAAAAGCGGAAAGTGGGTTGGAAAGTTGAGATTACTCTCGCTGGGTATACATAAATTTTGATAAAAATCTAATCTGAAAACCTCAAAAATATGATTAGTGCGGCACATTTTGGATATATAAGGAACTAGAGAAACGTGGAGATTTTTTAAAGGGAACTTTTCGGAAAGAAAACAAAATATGCTCATGCCTTCAGGGCAGGGGAGGGGGGATTGAAAACACGGAGGGGGGGGGGTGCAACGCAGTGTGACAGAAGAGCTTTCAATTTCTTCCAAAAACTTTTGATGACTTACAATACCGCTCACATTTTTTGAAAAAAAGACGCGAATGTATGGACATGTATGGACATGTACGGACATGTCCGTACATGTCCATACATTCGCGTCTTTTTTTCAAAAAATGTGAGCGGTATTGTAGATGGCATACTTTTAGTCCAAGTTGCACAATCAGCAGATTTGGCTATTTAAGACCCACCAATATGTCTTGCAAAAGCTGTAAATCCCATATGCCAAACATTTAGGGAGATAAGAAAAGCTCTGCTGTATATTTCATTCACATCAACATGTAAAACCCATAGAAATTTCACTTACTTCCCGTTTTCGCTATTAGCAGATGTTTGCAGACACTTTTTGACTAACCCTAAGAAGAAACAATGTGCCGAACTTCTACGTATATCCCCTTTCACACAGGGGCCAGGCCGAAGTGCCGCGAAGCGGCACTTCGGTCTGGTCTACAATAAAGCGCACGGTATCTCTCTCTGAAACTTCTCCCCCCCCCCCCCCTCGTGAGACGTCAACAAGTTTGTCGTTGCGTGCCGCTGCAGGCGTACAGGGTTGATGACTCATCACTATGCCAGTGATGTCCGATCTAGACGATGTTGATGACTTAACCTTCAGAGTGCAGGCAAAAAGTTAAAAGCTGTAAGCGGTAACATGCCGCTGCAGGCGTACAGGGTTGATGATTCATCATTATGCCATGATGTCCGATCTAGACGATGTTGATGAAAACCCTAACCTCCAAAGTGCAATCTCAAAAAAAGCTAAAAGGTGTAAGCGGTAACATCGATTGATTGTATCTTCACAATACGATGTCTCTATTTTCACATTGCAGCAGCACCTCTACTCGAGTCATCGGAACAGGTCAGCTATCAATTCCTTTCTCATTTAGCATTTTCTAAGAAGAAACAATTCAATCATGTGAACGAAAACCTGTGCAATCATGCTTTTTGAGCAAAATCGCACATTTCGAAAAATCGTCTATAAGAATGGGCATCTGTTAACAAAGATAAATTTTGGTACCTTGCTCATCACTACCATTTGTTTCTAAACTGCAAAATAGTGAGCTGCAGTTTTTTTTTGAAAAAATATTTCCACTTCTGTGATTTTCAAACGAATCCACAACCGTTACATAATTTCCCTATTTATTTTATATTTGGAAAACATCACATGTCCTAATCGACATATAATTCTTCTACAGAAAGTTGCAGTTATAGTCTAAAGTGCTTCTCAAGCGACCATCACCCGAATTGTCAAGTTTTTGATTTTCCATTCCAATATCAAATCAGTCTGTAGTTTTCACAATCTCAGCCGATTTCACTATTATATATAACCCTAGATTGCCTCTCTCTTTGGGTTTGTTTTCCAAGAGATCGACTTACCTAGTATCTACTCATCACCACCATTCGCCTTCTAAAATACAAAATATTGAGCTGCAATTTGCTACAAAACATATCCAGTTTTGTGATTTTCTTCAGTCTTTCCAAAATCAAATCTGTAATTTTCACGATCTCTGCCGATTTCACTATCACGAATAATGTTCAGAAATAGAGTTACCAAGCTGTTCGTTTTCGCTCCCAAAAGCCAGTTATTTTGTGCTTTACTCAACGTATAATCCTCCTTTAGAAAGTTGCAGTTTTTGTGTAAAATGCTTCTCAAGCACCTATTCGAAAAAAAATCACCTGTTAAAAAAATTATCAAGTTTTATCCATTCCAAAGTCAGTCGATTCCTTAAGTCTCAAACAATCTCAACCGATTTCACAATAAACTGTTTGAATCGCGTCTTTTTGAAAATTAAATCTCTGTCATCTCGAGTTTCATGACCTTTTCAAGAAAGTGCAATTTTTGCATTCTACTCATCTCTACCATCTGCATTCTAAAGAGGATATATCGAACTGCAATTTCTTGGAACAAAAAACGTTTGAGGCAAAAAAACAAGCCCAAGTCTATGAATTTCCACAAACCTTAATATCTCTCATAAATTCTTCAACAACCACATGTTTAATGACAAGCATCAGCCTATTTTATAGCTTTGAATCCTTTTTTTTAAGAAAGTTGCGACATAAATCTGTATTCAGAAATGGAGTTATTGAGCTGTTCGTGCTCCCAAAAGCCAGTAACTTTGTAATCACATTCCTCAAATGACTTGCTCCAAATTTTTGGTATGCTTTCCAAAATATTCTCCCCACTTCAAAAATCTCTTATGCATCCTCAGGGGTGTACTATCAGAATCGAAACTTTTCTCCGTGTCTTTGCTCACGTTATCTCACTGTTGTAGACATCAGCAGAGAGTACTGTTTCGTACTATAACACATGAAATTCACTTATGTGAAACGGATTACAAGCTTTTTCCCGAAACATGAAAATTATTAATGTTGCAGTCAGATGAACTACAAACGTGATTCACTTGAACCATGGTCATTTTGTTATAAAGCGTTCTCATCTAAACTATAGCAGATAGAATTGCTTTCCCTACAAATGTGATTCACTTGAACCATGGTCATTTTGTTATAAAGCGTTCTCATCTAAACTATAGCAGATAGAATTACTTTCCAATAAAATGTGAAGAAAATAAAACATCCAATCAAGACAGTACCGCTTAGACAACTTTTTGCGGCGACTCGCTGGACCATTCTATTGATTTATTGATATTTGGCATAAGAATGAGTTCTCGACATCGGCTAACAAGTCATTTCCATGATTTCTTGTAAACATTAGCAGTAGAGTTCATTCGATTTTCGCGGTAGGAAGGATGCGGTGATTCAAGACGAGCCTACAGTGGGTGAGTTACTTTGATGCAGAAGACCATTACAGCGCAGCGTAATGGCTAGGTGGGAAGGGGAGGTGGAGTGGGGGGGGGCGAGAAGGGGCTGGAGCAAGCATCAGCTGAAAACCCGGGCTAAACCGGGAAAATCAGCTAGTATTACATGTAAACTCGTAATTGGAGAGACTGATCAGGATCAAAAGCAGAACCTGTTTTACATCAAGAAGTAAAAAAATTTCAAGTATATTAGCTTACGTTTTTATAACCTTAAGAAAAAATACAGTATAAATGTTTTTGTTTATCAGCTTGCATGGTCACCACCATCAATGGTTTCTGCTTAAAGCATCACTACGCAGTGCATTATCTTCTCTGATCATTCATAAGAGCAAAGCCTCTGACAATCGTGCTTTAGTGAAGGATGAACATACGAATGCAGTAAGAAGTAAACAAAGTATAATAAGCAGCAAAATCAACGCATATATAGGCTCAGCGTTAATCTAGTCTTTAATGCAAACAAAACCTTCATTTCTCTTTCATTCATGCTTATGAAAAGTTACTTTTATTGTGTTACAGGATTAACGAGAAAAGATATTGACACTTCGCACTGGAGAGTAGATAAGACAGTACTTGCACAGAATTACTATTATTACAGGATGCTCGGTAGCGTTCGGAAACCTTTCTTCATTAAACTGGAAAAAGCAAGAATTATAGCGGCGTTAGCCCTCTGTGATCTCATCAAATTTACTCACGATTGCAACGCTCACATTCTCTCAGTTGGTCTCGGGGGTAGCACAATCGATGGATTTTTACATCAGTTCTTTCCTCAGGTCAATTCAGGTTTTGGAAAAAGCCTCAAATGAGATTGAATGTTTTCAGATGAATATAACTGTAGTGGAAATCAGCCGTCAAGTGGTAAATATGGCTAAAAAATGGTTTGGTTTCGTTGAAAATGATTATCATCGCGTCGTTGTAAGCGATGGTGTCAAATTCATAGCTGAAGCAGCCAAGAAAGGTTTGCTATGAACTGTAGCATAGAATGGTAAGCTATTGATTCAGGAAATGTCTTCGACGCAATCTTACTTGATGCATGCTCATCAGATCAAGTGGAAGGAATCATTTGCCCTCACGAGTCTTTTCTAAGTGAAGGCGTTTTGAAAAACATTGCTCATATGCTTCCCAAGCGAGGTACGCAGTGGTTGCTATCTTTAGCCTTTGCTCAAACCTTTGTAGTAATCATTGACTTCATAAAGGTAGATTCACTAGTAGATGGCCAGTATCAAGCCTGCATAACATTAAGGAAGGATAGTAAAAATTTGCAGATTAACGCTGAGAAACGCTGAAAATCTTTCTGATCAAAGTTGCAGGAAATGGAATAAGTAGAAATTAAGGACATTTTCATACAGTTTGCCCAAATGGGATCAGGCCGAATCGTTGGTCACATTTGCGCGCACGCTGCGCTAGGGGTTTGCGCGCATGCTCAGGCAAAAGTTCCGGAAGAGCGGAAACAAGTACCGGGCGAGCGGAATTCACATTTCTGAATCGTCCGGTGGACGCAAGCGCCCGTCCGGTGCTTTCTGATTCGGGTCGCTTGCCCGCGAATGAGTTCGCTCTGCCGGAAAATGCAACCGCTCGGCCGCAGGCCTCTGATTGGCGCGGCGCTCGCCTGGTACTTTTGCCTAAGTATGTACACTGTCGAAGAGGGCGAAGAGATCGAAGAGAAAGCAGGCAAGCAGGCTGTAGGCGTGACGCAAAATCCTAGCGGCGAAGACTCTCGCCATGCCATTTCGGCCTGGTTGGGATTGTGGCAGACGGTAGAATGGTGTATGCTTTCTGAGGGAAGAAAAAGAAAGAGTGAATTATATGGGAAGCTAAGCGAATTCTGTACGCAGAAAACTTTCTCAAACAAGAATGACATATACCACTCTCAAGTAGGGGGGGGGTATTCGAATTCACCTAATTTTCTCAGTGCATAAAATTGCTCCACAGTCATTATTTATCATACACTTATTGATGACCCAACTGTGAAACTTCCTCTCGCTTCTTTGCTAGGGCGCGTGATTGCATCGACATTTTGGGTCGTGCAAAAAAATCACTCCTCATTTGAACAATGCAATGCCGTTGGCAATCGAAAAGGAAATCGATTCTGTATATCAAAAGGCAAAAAGAGGAACTTTTTTACAGACACAATTAACACTTGTTATGGCTTGTTTAGTTGTCCTTATCAGAGCCTTTGCGGCTTCTGAGGTCAAGTTGAGGCCAGCCCACCGCCGAAACTTTAGTCATTAAAGGATCTACCAACTCCGGTGTACAGCTAAACAAACCATAACAAGCATCTACAACATGCCGAGATTAAACGACAGCCGAACTTGATCAATACAATAACACTTGTGCTCAGGCCGATGACTGCTTAAGAATCGGTCATAGGTTGCCGCCTGAGGAGGTTACTGAGTTTGCCGCTTAGGCTGCGTTCATACTGATCCGAAAGTTCGGGAATCCAAGCACAGCGCAAGTACTGTGGGCCATACTTTACGCACATGTGCGTAGCTGTGCACGTTGCGTACGCCGCGCAGTATGGTCAAACCCTTACTTACAAGGGAATGGTCAGAAATCGAAGTGGCCATTCCAGACAAGCTGCGTATCGTTAGATGCAGCATGAAGCGCTGACTCTAAATCTGTCTTCTTTATCTGCTTATCGCTTTTCTGGACGAAGTTATAAGCCATTAAAGACCATTATTTTGCTTAGAAATTATGCGTGAAATTGAAAATTTAGCCGTACAGAGCCTCATTCGCCTCAAAGCTGGGCCAAAACATGCATCTAGCTTACTTAAAATTTTTGAAGCGAGAAGACGAGCTAAAAGTGCAACCATTTGCTCAATTTCGCTGTTTTTATGTATGATTTTTTCACAATAAAACCACTTGTAGCTTCGTCCACAGAAGCGGGAAGCAGATAAGGAAGACAGATTCGAAGTCAGCGTTTTATACTGCATCGAATGATATACAGCTTCTTTGGTTTGGCCACTTCGACTTCTGACCATTCCCTGGTTAGCATTCTTTTTGCTGATTTATGCAACACTAAATGCACTTCGGACGATCTCAGGTCTACCTCAGCTACCTGTATATAATTTCCTACAAAAAAAGTTCGGACACTTTTTCCCGAACTGGAAGCAAGGCGAATGCTATCTCGTAGTTCAGAGCGAGCATTTCGACTAACTTCGGTTGCATTGTTTACTATCTCGCAAAGTTTTATAGCGAGAAGAACACAGCTTTGTTTCGAGGGTCGCAGATATCGAAGGTAGACTTTACCGCTCTAGAAGAAGCTCGCTGGGGCACATTTCTTACTTATATAAAGCATGGCTCTCACTGAACCAACAAAATCTCATTCCGGATGTAAGTGCGTCGCCAGATGCGGCTGCAATCATTGAAATACTCTATATGTAATAGCAGTCTTTCTTAATCTTGGTTTTGGCTCAACTCTACGAAAATGACTGCAGCTCAGGCTACGGCGCTGAAAGGTTAGCCCAAAATTTCCAAACTTATTGTGAGGAAAAATAAACAAAATTTTTTTATGTTTTCGATTACCGAGTGTTTTTTGTATATTTGTTGTATGCATGCATGTCTGTCTGTGTGCATGTATGGGGGAGAGACTGTCCGAGTTTATCATGACGACGAGGACTATCCATGGAAACTCACAGTTCCAAAAGCCCTCTTCCCGACGCTGGATCTGGGAATCGCCCGGTGGAGAGTACTACCATAACGAGATTGACCACATCATCGTCAACAGAAGGTACTGTCTGACGGACGTCGCTGTTGTTCCGAAGTTCTACATGGGATCAGACCATCGTCTTCTACGCGCCAAATTCTACTTTCCGCGAAATGGGGAAAGAGCCGTCCAGTTCAGGAAACATCGTCTCATGAATATCACCAACTGGGATCTGTTTTCTTCTATCGGTCTCATGGCGAGATGGACAACATCGACGAAGAGTACGAACGGTTCGTACAACATCTCCACGATTGTGCCAAGGAAGCTCAGAGTCTAAAAAATACGAGAAGGCGTCTCACCACGGAGACTCTGGAGCTGATACGCCAACATGGATGCGAACGAGCCACAGGCAACTACCGACTGACGTCCGAGCTTGCGAAGATGCAGAGAAGCGATAAAAGTAGACCTTGAGGGGAGAAGAGTAGCAGTGATGGTTGACGCCGCGGAGATTGGAAAAAGTATACGCAACTCCCGCCGAAGCTTCGTCAACTTTAAGAGAAAGATGACCGCACTTCGCCGTCATGACGGAACCATTACTGCTTCCCGAAGATCAATGGAAAAGGTTATCCACGACTTCTACTCGGATCTCTTTGCGAGCCACCTCCACATTCCACCATGCCATCTCAAGGAGGACGAGTATGTTGCACCGTCTGTTCTTCCTTCCGAAATTCGTCATGCTATCATGTCGATAAAGAACCGTACAGCACCGGTCCCGACAGGATTAAACCAACATCTGATGAATCTTTCGCCAGTTCTCATCAAGATTTTGGCAAGGCTCTGCACGCGGTACCAGACGGAAGGCAAGGTTCCAAGACAATGGAAGACCAGCAAAACCGTGTTGCCGTACAAGAAGGGAGATCCTTGCTACATCGGCAATTATCGCCCTATCTGCTTATTATCTGTAGTCTACAAACTCTTTACGCAAGTTAATCTCAACAGGATCGGAAGAGAGAGTTAGACGAAGGACAACCATGCGAGCAAGCTGGGTTTCGAAGAGGATTCAGCACGATAGACCACATACACACGGTGTCAAGGCATTCGGAATACCTTGACTGCTCAAGGCATCGATGTCATTGAAGTGTCACAAGAGTATAAGATGCCGCTCTGTCTTACCTTCATTGATTTGGAGAAGGCCTTTGACTCGGTTGAGACTGAAGCCGTCATCGATGCCTTGAGCAGTCAAGGTATTCCGACTCATCACATCAAGATAATTCGTGAGCTGTATAACGACTTCACAACCACCATAACACCATTCTACAAGGATATCATCATCGACGAGAAGAGAGGTGTGCGACAAGGCGATACTATATCGCCGAAACTATTCAGTGTCGCTCTGGAGAACGTCATGCGAAAGTTGGAATGGGACAACATGGGAGTCAAGTCGTCGGCCGGCAGCTACACCACCTTCGCTTTGCTGATGACATCGTATTGATAACACCAAGCATCACGCAGGCGGAACAAATGCTAGCCCAGTTTGACGAAGTGTATTGAAAGATCGGTCTACGGCTGAATCTAAAGCAGACGATGTTCATGAGGAACGGAAGAGTGCCTGATGCTCCTTTCATGCTCAACGGGACGAACATCACCGAATGCTCAAGCTACACCTACCTAGGTCGTGAACTCAGTATGATGAACGATCTAGCTCCGGAACTGAGCAGGAGGAAACGTGCAGCATGGGGAGCATATAAGACAATTGAGGACGTAGTGAAGAAGACCAAGAACATCTGGCTTTGCGCCCCACATTTTCAACTCGACGGTACTTCCTGCTTTGACGTACGCTTCAGAAACATGGACAATGAGAAAGCAGGATGAACATGCGGTTAGCGTCATCGAACGAGCTGTTGAGAGAGTGATGCTAGGAGTGAATCGACTCACGCAAGTGAGGCAAGGATTACGAAGTTCTACCCTACGTCAACGATGGAAGATCAGGGACGCTGCCGCGTACGCCAAGCAGAATAAGATAAGATGGACCGGGCACATAATGCATTTCACGACAACCGGTGGACGAGAACTGTAACAGATTGGATACCACTGGACGTCAAACGCGAACAAGGAAGACCGCTGACGCGATTGTCAGATATGATCACGAAGTCCTTTTTAATGAAGTCCTTCAGAACGTCCTACGTATTCCTGGTGCGATACGTAAACACTGGTCAACAATCGCCCGAGACAGGGACGAATGGAGGCATCACTGGTACCCGCTCGTGCAACACGATGATCAACGGGGATACAGGTGATACAGGTGAATTACGAGTAAAATAACCTTGTAAAATACTAAATACTTCCACGACTTTTATCAATTTTTGCAATTAGCTAAAGGCAAGCGGAATAAGCGCATGTCGATTACGAATACAACATCATTTCTAGGTTATCGATTATCTTTATTGATTTTCTATTCCATGCAAAATCTGAACTATGAGATTGG